ACACACACACACACACACACACACACAAACACACACACACATACTCTCTCTCACTCTCTCTCTCTCTCTCTCACACACACTCACTCACATACACACACACACTCACACTTAAAAACCTACAAGCACAAATATATACGCGTACACAAACGAATAACTGCTGTGTTTGAAACAAATACTTCACGAACCAGTTATAGACGCCGACGACACAACATGTCCCTCTGTAGAACCATAGGCTGAAACCACATCGGCTGTCAAGGTTAGGTATGAGGAAAACTGAGACTGAAACAAAAACATGCAACAATATATGAAATTATTACCTCATAATTACAAATTTGTATTTGCTGAGTACCTAGTTTTGAGAAATTTGACAACAGTTTTTGAGTTTTACTCGTACGCACCAAGCTTTTATTTTTTTCGAATTTTTATTAATATTTTGATAACGACTCCGAATATTTTTACGATTTTGATAGAGCAAATAGAGCATTTTGTTTCTGGCCTAATGGTCTTAGTAACTCAATTCGGCCAAAAATGTGAGCTAGAACTTTTAAATTCTGGGCTAGAAAAATGTCAGTCTTTGTCTTTATGCAAACAAAATTCGAAATGAAAGGAATCTGTGTAAGTGAAATCTTTTTTTACCATCTCAAAACCGACAATAATTCAATATGTTACCAACTTGATTTTGAAATTAAATTTTGTGCCAATCTTCTGCGAACGCATCTTTGCCTTTAGCTCTCTACAACAAGCTTAACGTTTTCTAATTACATTGTATGTATGAGGTCGAAATAAAAGAGGGATAATAATGGACGTCGTTTTCAACCGATAAAAATGATATCGTAGTGAAAGCAGGCGTTCGTCAAAATAATGAAATCGAAGAAACAGGCATTTTTGTACCTGTTTGGCAATTTTTATCAAATATTTGTTTTTGGACTCAGCCCCTTGTATGTCAATATAAAAACACAATTTTTATGTGAATTTTACTGAAAAACGTTGATTAAAGTCACAAATTATGTCATTTTTCAGTTTTTAAAGACTCTCAAGCTAATGAAGTTACCAAACTTTGACGGTCATTTTCTCGCTAATTTAACCACTGAAACCAGGCGACCCCACCTCTTTCAATCGCAAGCATCTTGACTTTCATTCAAGATAGATGGGTACCTTCTTCATTGACAGCAAGGCAAATGAATACATTTTCAGATCATACCAATAACTTCACATATCCCAAAGATGACGAGCGCCTGATTCCACCTCGTCAAGACACATTTATTCTTACTTTTTTAAAGTCTGCTTGACATGGAATTTCTTATCTCCCTTTTTGAACATATTTAGGCATGATCCGACCTCCTACTGCCACTCAAGAAGATGGTTTTCCCTTCATGGACCGCCCCCTCCCCTCTACACACACACAGACATCCTGACCCTCCCCTCTATACACACAGACATCCTGACCCTCCCCTCTATACACATACAGACATCCTGACCCTACCCTCTATACACACAGACATCCTGACCCTCCCCTCTATACACACATACATCCTGACCCTACCCTCTATACACACACGGGCATCCTGATCCTTGAAGTTGATCAATTACAGTGTTAATGGCTGAACCCAAATCGATTAGAGGAAAGAATGATAATTATATCACTATAGCTTGTGATTTATAAATTCAACAACAACAACAAAAACCCCCCAAAAAGTTTAAGGTTCATCTCAGTTCGAAGTTGTTCCCTTGAGAAAGACATCTTGCTTAGATTTTTTTCTTCTGGTTCGGTCCTATCTGAGTCTCATATTAAATTCTGAGTTTCCATGCTACGATGTTGCACGATTGCGTCACATCTACATGTTTCCGTACGTTTATATTTTGCATTTCAAGAATACCATAAAATGATGAACACCTTTTTCAACGGCTGCCCACCGACCATCATCATCTGGAGCTTGAACTTGGACTGGCTTGAGTTGTTCTCCTGTTCTCGCTGTTTCAAAACAGTTGCCAGATCCAGGGATAAAAGCAAAGCACCAAAGCATCCCTCAGCTTCAATTGCCTTCCACTTTTCGTCACCTTCCTTGGGTCCATTCCAGAAGTCGAGGAGAAGGCGAGGTTGGGTGGAGTAATAGGTCGAGTGGGGATAGCCCGCTATCCAGCCTGTGACACAGAAACGGGGTAATAATGAATGGGTACAAGTGAAGCATTAAAAACTAAAGCTAAAGAGTAGAATAAAACACAATTTAGTGTTAGAAAAGCATTGGACGTTGATGAACTCGGATCACTTTGTTGAGTTGTCAAAGCTCTGAACAAATTCTGAGGTCCCGCCTCTGAAATAAACCAGCAGTGTTGCTTGGGACTTTAAATTCATACACTTACTCCGCTGATAGCCCTCTCATTACATTTCCTATTTACCCAGAAGCTTTTGTACGGGGTGCCCACTACGGATTGGAATGGCCAATCGCCTAAAAAACAAACGTGTTTGTTTTCAGTTTCAGGCGATCGAGTCGGGCGATCGGCCCGATCCAGCCACAGAGGGCACCCCGAATTAGCAAGCATCTATAGTGTATCAATTGGGAATGGTACGTTTCTCCCACAAAAGCACGCTTCTGCTTGCGTCAGGATATTTTGTCAACGTTTTTCGCCTTGAAATCCAAGCCGATTGCTGTGATGAAATTTCGAAACGGTAATTTTTCTTTACTGTCAGACTGGGAAGCTACCTATACTGTTACCTTTGGTGGCTACTTTATAAATGTTTTTGCGGTTTTACTGGCCTGTTTAAGACGAACTCAAAATGTGCTCAGGACGCAAAGTGTACAAATCTCATTTAAAAGATCTTGTATGACATCGTTTTCACACTTTCGGACCTGGTGTTTTTTTCGGTCTTTCCGTTCCTTAGAGAGTTCTCGAGCATCATTTCTTCTTTCTAAGTGTTCATCTGTCTGTTCCTTGCAGATTGGCATATTTAGATAACAAATTCTCCAGCATGCTACATAAACGTCATCTTCCAATAATTTTCTTCCCCGTGCATCTCCATTTTGACTGGTCAGGCGAACTGACCTTGCGGTGCAGGCCGGACCTGGCCTTCGAGCAGTAGTTTAAAAGCTGGGGACCGATCACGAGTTATCTCGTGATGAGAATAAAAATGTGAAAAGTCGTCCAATCCAATATTCTATCCCTGTTTATCGCCAAGTCTAGGTGCTCGATCCATTCCTTCTTCCGGTGACCCCAAGAAGAGTGCTTCTCAACGAACGAGGGTCTCTTTACAGCAAATATAGGTAACAACATAGCCATGGTAGTATCATAGATGCTGAAAGACATTTTTTGAAATTCTGAAAAATGGTGTATTTCTGAAAAATCGTGGAAAACAAAGTATCTAACATAGAGGATTTTTGTTAAATGAACTGTGTTTACAAAGGTTGCATCTGTAAGTGTGCCAAATCTTAGCTTTGGAACTCAAATACAACACCAATAAAAATATTCTTTTGAAAAACCTCCAAAAACCCTGGCCCCAAGGGGTTGTGCCCGACAATAAGGCTGGTCCCGAGTGAGAACATTTTACGACGCCTACTCCAGCAGCAGAAGCAGGGGTTCATCACGTCAGGCTGTACATCAAGACTATCTTTGTTAACATGTTCTCAGGGGTAGAATTGTTACAACCGCTAGCCAGAGATATCGTGGCTAGCACGGAGAATCTTGGTACGAGAACGAATTTCTAACCTCCAAGATCTCTGCTGCTTAACTTCTTCATAACGCACACTGGCAGGTCCGTGTCATTAATTGCCTACTCGGTTGGGTTTAGAAGTTCTTAACTGACATGCTGGATTATATGGTCGCTTTTAAGCAGAAGGGGGTTATCCCGAAAAATGCTGTTTTGAGAAAATCGAAGGTGAACTTTTTGCCACTTTTTCGGTTTTTTAAAAAGACAAGGAGAGTTTCCGCTATAACTAAACGAATATACTTACCAATGAAACAACAATTTTCCACTGCCCACTTTTGGTGTAGGTCAAGATTTCTGGAAACCTCCGAAATCTGGGTTAGCCCGCTTGTCCTTAAAAGCAACCATATCAACTGCTCAGCGTAAGGCTATGTCATACGTCACTTTTCCAAAGAACGTATGGCTTAGTCTTATATTTAGCTGTCTGTATGCCTAGTGCACTTGATGAACGAGCACTGTTTTATAATTTTTTAACAAAGAAAAACGAAATACCTACAGCATAGTCTATAATATGGGAAAAAAGTCAATGAAATAGATTATTGGACGACGTTCTACAGCTGCAAGCGCCGGGAAACTCTTACCAATATACAACAAAGTAAAACCAGGAATGTATTGTAAACAATCGTGAAAACAACCAGCCTGAGTCTCGTGCTCTCATATGAATATGTTTTGTAGTTGTGAGCGCCGTAAAACTCTTACCAAAAACAAACAGATACACTTGACGAG